CAAATAACATTACTCCCAAATTTAATAACCAATAAAAACTAAAATATCAGCACTCATATTGAAAGGTATTAATGTTGATATGTTAAAAGCTTTTAAAATCAAATGCAGAAAAAGCAATAAAATCCTTAGTACTATATACTAAGTCCTAAATATTGCACTACTGAAGTATTAAAAACATACATAAACTCACCGACTGGCACTGTGGTGTAGCAGGTAAAGCCACTGTCTGCAATGTGGGGCTGCTCCACTTTTGGAGCCTCAGCTGCTCCACTTCCAATCCAGCTCACTCCTATGGCGTTAGAAAGCAGTAGAAGATGGCCCAAGTCCTTGGGTCACTGCACTCACATGAGAGACCCAGAAAAAGCTCCTGGCTCCTGGCTTCGGATCAGCACAGCTCTGGCTGTTCGGCTGTTGCGGCCAATTGGGAAGTGAACCAGCAAATGGAAGACCAATCTCTCTCTCTCTCTCTGTGTGTGTGTGTGTGTGTGTGTGTGTCTCCTTCTCTCTCTGTGTACCTCTGACTTTAAATAAATAAATAAATAAATCAAAAAATTACATAGACTCATAGAGAAGAAACAATAGAAAAACATAGAGGGGACGGTGCTATGGCACAGTGGGTTAAAGCCCTGGCCTGAAGCACCGGCATCCATATGGGCACTGGTTCAAGTCCCGGCTGCTTCTCTTCCAATCCAGCTCTCTGCTATAGCCTGGGATAGCAGTAGAAGATGGCCCAAGTCCTTTGACCTCTGCACCCATGTGGGAGACCCAGAGGAAGCTCCTGGCTCCTGGCTTCAGATGGGTGCAGCTCCTGCCCTTGTGGTCACCTGGGAAGTGAACCACCAGATGCAAGACCTCTCTCTCTTTCTCTCTGCCTTCCTGTAACTATGTCTTTCAAATAAATAAAATAAATCTTTAAAAAAAAAAGAGAGAAACATAGAAAATACTAAAGTCATCTTTTCTAATAATCCAATTTGTGAAGCTGACAAGCCTTTTCTTTTTTCAAATAGGAAGTCAGCAAAATTAAAGAAAGAAAAACTGGAAAATAATAAAGATTAAATATCAGTGCTAATGGAGGTTTAACAAAACTGCCTTTACAGCAGTCAGCTTTGAAATATTCCCTCATCTTGACATATGACTACTTCTAGTCTGAGACTATAATTAGATGATCAGACAAAAAAAGTTTATACAAAGGTTTTAATAGTCTTCCAAGAGGAAATAAGTTTAAAAACAATTCACATTTTCAACGCTTGAAATATGGGCAGTTATTTCATAGAAAAATATGGTGATGCATTGAAATCAAATTTTTTGAAGAAAACTTCTTCACTTCAGAAATGCTAAAGTCTTTAGACAGGCAGAAAAAAATAAGCTGTGTTTATACTATGGCCGATTGAAGACTGATCAAAACCTAGATACAGGGTACAAAAAGCCCATAAAGGGCCACCGTGTAAAAGGAAAGCAGAGTCCAGGGCCTGTTAGTGAGGGATCTTGGGTGAGTCCTTGTTCAGAATGAAGGAAAATTGTGTTTGCGTAAGAAGGCAGGCCACATGGGCTTCAGAGACAATGTTCACTTATTGCTCAATGTTTTCTGAGATCAGAAAAAGCATCATCATATACTTGACTATGAGTTTTACAAAAATGCATTTCCATCGCATAAAACGCTGAGAATGGTGCATGTACAGAACTAAATTTTACCAATGTTTGCCTCTGTGACTTTCTCTCTAAGTCTACACAGCAGCTTTGGAAGAGTGCTTTATACATGTGACACATCAGTTCCTAAATGGGAGAATAACTTTCAGAAGTAAATTCACAGTTGAGTTCCTAAAACAATTGTGATCCCAGTGCCAAGATATATTTTAGCTATGAACAGTCATTAGAATCATTTTGCTGTTGTCATTTGTTGGATCACTTGATTTGTGCTAAGTATGAGACAAGATAGATTTTATGTTTACTTGAATAAGGCAATAAAAAATTCCAGATTAGGATATAGCATTTTATTGTAAATTTATTTTACTATAGTGAATTGCATTTTAGATAGAGTGTGGGTTTGTGGAGTGATACTAACTCTATATTCATAAATTTTTGAATACAAACAAGTTTCTTTTTGGAATGCTGGTGCTGTGGTATGTGCAATTCACTGGATTATTTAAACAGATTCCAAAGGATTGAAAAGGAAGCTGAATGAGCGATAGCAATGCCTCTTTCCATTTCTCAGATGGTAGAACTGTTCAATGCTGTCCTCAGTGTTCCTATTATGTATTTATTGTAGATTAATGGGCACTTTTCTTTCTGGAAAAGTAACAAATTAGGGAAAATCCATAACATACTTCTCACTGACATGACAGAAATGGTATTTGCTGTAAAGAACAGATGCTAAGAAGGGCAGGAGGGGCATTTAATTTGGTTCAGATCTTTACATGGCAAAGCTCATCTGCTCTAAACAATGGGTGTATGTTTTCACTGATCCACTTTCTTTTAGATGTATTTTTAAATTTTTACTTATTTATTTGAGAGGGAGAGAGGAAAAGAAGGAATGTGTCAGTCTCTGGTTCACTCCCCAAATATCCTCAAAAGTGGGGTAAAATACTGGGGGTAGGCCTGCACTGAGTTCAAGCTGGGTGCCAGGATGTGACCTGGGTCTCCAGTGGGTCTCCCGAGACTTGACCCATCACAGCTGTTTCCCAGGTCCTGCAGTAGCAGGAAGCTCAAGTCAAGAACCAGAGCAGGGAATGGAACTCAAGTACCCTCTGGGTTAAACTCCCACTTCATAGATGCATTTTTTAAAAGACCCACATCCATCACAATTAATGGAATTGTATGTTTCAGGGGTTTATTTTTAAAAAAAGATACTCAACATACAGGTTTTTTTCAGCCTGAGTTGAAAGATCATATCATTGTTTCTTGGACATCTATTCATCATCAATAAGAAAACATGCTATTAAATGAGGAAATACTAAAATATAGTTAACATGGCAGAAAATAGATTTCTATTTATACCTTCCCTCACTTGTTACACAGAAAGGGGACTTGAATTTATCATAAAGTTCATTACTATGTCTATAGATTGATGTGTCTCATATTTTACGAAAAAAACCTCATTGTTTAATATATAGAAAAGTGAAAAACTGCTGAAAAGATGTTAGTGTGTTTTTGAGGTGGAGTAAAAAGAGAAGGGAAGCCGTCTTTTGGTCGCTCTCTCATGTATGAGTTTTCTAAAGAGGCATCGTAGGACTTAACCAGGTTTGCCCCAGTACAGCTCAGGTTTCACAGGGCATGATGTAGAGGCAGTGCTTCTGGGCGGCTAGAATGAGTCAAACTGAGCTGGGGACGAACCCATGACAGCAGTTAGCTAGGGAGACAGTCACATTTTAAAAAATAAGAAAAGTGATTCAAAAGGGGGGGGGGGGGAGCAGCCTGCAAGTCACCCCAGCGGGAGATCTCTAGTGACAACCTCTTTACTCCTGTAAATACTCTTTAATAACTCAACTCTTGTAAACCACGTAGGAAGAAGCGGGTGTGACAACCGAGAAGGAAATTCTGAATTCTGGGCTTCGGAGCCTGCCCGTGGGTGCCGCTTTGCCTGCTGATATCCTCGGGAAATAATCCACGGAGAGAAACGGGACCGCCCTGCGGTCCGCGCAGCGCGGCTTCCCATAAGGTGCAGCAGCGCGCGGCCAGGTCCAGGAGAGGGGGTTGCTGCTAATCTGTTGCTCCAGCTCCAAGCCTGAGCAGGCACCTGCTGGGATGCTACTGGCCACCCACAGCTCACCCCAGGGCTTTCTGAAAATAAAAGGAAGCTAGTAGAAAGAGTGGCAAAGGAGGGAATCTCCGTCTAGGATTCCGCAGGGACACCCCTGGCTATTCCAAATCTCTGGGTCATGGGGGTCGTGACCAAACCAAGCCTGTGCAAGTGACGCGCTGGGAATCACCACGCCGCAGGGACAGCAAGTAAGTTATCGCTCGCTTTACCAACACATTCGTTTTTTACCTCTCCTCATTTTAATCTTATGAAAGAAATCGGTCGAGGGCTACCTTTTCTCCTGACATCTCAAGCTCAGCGCGCGGAAGCGATAACACAGAACACGCAGGCACATTGCCTACAGCCATCCAACCTCGCGCTCCTAGGCTGCCCGCGTCCGGGGTACTCGAATTTGGAAACTTGCCGATCCCGCACGCGAGTTGGTGAGGGCGGGTGGAATGCTGGGGCCCGTCATTTATTCACTGCGACGGTCTCGACTGTTGACACCGGTGGCGAGCCGCATCCTCCTGTCTGACGGGGGAAGTCTGACACCTTGAGGACGGGCGAGGGGGTGCCAGGAGCCCCAGTCAGCGGGATGCGGCGAGTCTGGAGAGTTGCAGGGGCTTACTTTCTTCCTGCCCAGCGGTCCGCCGCCTGGGTGCGTGTTTACTAATGTGGCAGCAGGGCGTTCGCGGGCTGGCTCTCGGCGCGCCCTGAGGTCCGACAGCCTTACTGAGCCCCACCGAGCTGGCGGTGTGCGTCTGGCTGGCGGCCAGGACCACAGGGTGGGTTCTCAACACCGACTTTGCCAGATGACCGCTGGCCGGGGGCGGGCTCCCCTGCCCACTGAGTGACCTCAAAGCCGTTGGCCAAGGCTCTTCGGGGCTGGGAGACAGTCGAGCCGGGGGGCTGAGCGACGGCTGCCGGCAGTGCGCTGGTCCCCTCGGCGGCAGCGCAGAGCCGTGCGTGGGTCGCGCGCGCATCTTCCCGGGCTGTCTCTTGCGAGCGCGGTCTGTGCGGACCCCGAGCCCGGCAGCCGCCGGGGCCCGAGGGCGGGGTGCTTTCCTGCGGGCTGCTCCGCTGTCAGCCGTGGGAACTCCAACTTTATCCTGAGGGACCGGTGGGGGCGGGGGTGGGCGAGGTTCTCCTTTCCTGGCGCTCACCTCCCCCTCCCGGCCCGCCCCTCCCCCGCCTCCTATGGCTCCGCTCTCAGAGCATCCTCACTCCGCCCAGTTCGGTGCCAGCTTGCGTGGGCTCCAGCTTCGTGCGTTTTCCTTGGAATGCTCCAAAAACTCGGCAGCGGCTAAGGAAATCCCATCGCAATTGGCTGGGCGTGCAATCACCCGGCACAGCCTCGGAGCCGCGGTTCCTCCGGATCCCATCACTTCAGCCACAAGGTTGCAACTTCGAAGGTAAAGAGGGTGTCGCCTTTCAGCTCCGTTGGACCGGAGCTACCCCTCGCCTCTTTTCTGGGATCTCGGTTAAGTTTCTCAGGCTGCCTGGGAAGCCGGCTCCCTCCTGGGAGGCGGACATCCCTCTGGGGTTAGGAGTTCAAAAGGCTCCCGCTGCTTGGTTTCCCTTGGAGGCTGAGGAAGAAGATGGGTGAAGCTGTCCGGGGTTGACCCCGGGCTGAGCGCGAGTTTGGGGGTGCTTCCCCGTCTCTGCGGCGTCCGGCTTTACCTCCGGGCAGAGCGCGAGGAGTGAGCCCCTGGTGTGACTTATATGGTAAACAAAGCAGTTGCAGCCACGCAGTGGGGCTGGGAATGTGGCTGTTTTTAGCTTCTTATGCTTTGGGGGAAAATGGAGATCGTCGGGGCCCCTGGGTGCATGTAAGCGAGCCGTTGGCTCTCAGGCACCTACGCTGGAGGCACGAAGAAAGGGACGTGATCGATATCCTATCGATGAATTAGACTCTGCGTCATTTTCACTGCCTGTCAAGAAATGGAAACACTTTTATCGGTGTTGCTGGATCCAGTCTAGTGATTCCTAGTTCGCCTGGCAACGGAGACTGCAGTTGAGCCAATGACCCTATTTGCTACTTGGGTAAATCGCTGAAATTCATTGCACAACTTGTTGTTGCAGCCCTGAAGTGAACTCGGCTGTCTTTTGTGACTGTGGATAGGAGCATACTGGCAAGGCGTGGAGGGTTGGGGAGAGCTGCTAGAAGGGAGCTGTTATCTCTAGTGCCTGCATTCACCATGGTGTATCCACTGTGTGTCCCTGTTCATATGGCTTCTCCGCGAGGCCCTTCCCAGTTAAATTCCACAGCTATAAAACGCAGCAAGTTGTTTAAGGAGTAAGCACCAAGCCAGAGGAGTGGGAGGAGATAGACGCAAGCTTTAGTTGCTTTATTAAAAAGAAATTTAGAACAGACTTGTAAAACTGAAAATAAAAACTCTCAGGGCTCATATAATCCCTGGCATTCCTACACAGTAATCACAACCGAGAGCATATTACAAATTCTTTAAGAAAGGCTTACTGGTGTTTTTTCTTTTTCTTTTTTCTTTTTTTTTTTTTTTAAGTAAAACTTTAAGTTGGACACTAAACGTGGTGGGTAGATAAGTTAAAACATTGAGATCGTCAACACTGTGTTACGTTTGCTGTTTAAATTTACACTTGGAATACCTTTTTCTACTCAGCTGGACCGTAGACCAGCTCAACCATCCTTTAATTATCTAAAGCGAGGAAAGTAAGATATAGTGATAACTATATTGGATATTAAGAAGAATTAAAATCAGAATCCAATAAAGTGTTATTAGAGAAGCACTTAAAACTGTATTTATGAATTAATACAGCTGCAAATGCAAAGCAGTAGAAACTAAATGGATTTTATCAGCGTAATTTATGCAAATATATTGGATTAATAAAAGCACAGATAGAAAGCACTTATATTGCACATATATAATATATGTATTATATATATTTAAAAAGAACACAGTATTAGAGGTGGCTGCCTTCACAAAGAGCTTTGATCAGAACTCCAGTACTCTGCTGTACCTGAGGGTGTGAAGAATGAGTATGTTGAGAAACACAGAAATACTAGCAGGTATATAAGAGTTGCATGATGGTCATGAGTGAATAAATGTATAGATAAATCCTGATAAAAGTTTGCAATCAGATTTACACAAGCTCTTCTTCCTTTCAGTAAAAACTTAGAGGAATAAGAACATTCATGAAAGCATAAAGTGTTTAAAGTAGACAGATAAAAGAAACATGTCTCTTTGTAAAACCTGTCAAACATGGATAATCATTCTGAAAATTTTTATCTTAAAAAATAAAAGAAATTTCAATAACTTGTTTACTGGTCTATTTCACAAATGAAACGTCAAAATTTTGTAATTTTTAAATTGTTTCTTTCCTATTGCACTTATTTCCAGACAGTCAATATCAAAATACTTGGAGAAGCCTATAACAATTAAAATTCTGTATGAATTTTATTGCCATTTGAGTTATTAAAATGTTAAGAGACCAAATAACTTTGCAGAGAACATAACCAATTCATACATTACGTAAATGGCCAAGAGCAGAAGAAATGCTGTTATTCTTTCTAATTAAGGTAAATTTGAACGTCTTGTTTGTTTACACATTGCAAACTTTTTCACTTACACTCCTCGGAGAGCTACAGCCACCTAAAGGACTAAAAAGTTAACTGGTTCAACATAGTCACTAATGAAAGTGAAGCTAAATAAATTTGTAAAACAGCAACAACTTGTGTTTCATAAACTATTACATCATTTGAACCTAAAAGGAATCTGGAAGTTAGATGAGTAATCTTTTAATGGTTGAATGGCTTAGTCTATTGATCTATTGGTACTAAATCGCTCACCATTTGCAAAAAATATTAACTTTTAAAAACTACTGCCCTTGAGTTGTAGATCAAAGACAGAGACAACATATATCCATTGTTTTTAATGTTTTCTGTTATGATAGTGAAATAACAGAAGTATCTAGTCATCTAGCCAAGTGCTATCAGCTTACTCTTATATGAACATGATTCAGTTTCTGTTTAAGAATAATAATTCCTTTTTAATCCACTAAAGTAAATGTACTCTCAAATATGTATTTTTAGAAATATTCTGTTATATTTTTATGCTTGCATGTTTAACTGCCAAGATAATCTATGGCAATCCAGATGATTCACATTAGATTTAACAGCTAAAAAGTAAAAATAAACTCTCCTTGCCATTAATGCATCTATTGGAGCAAAAAATACAGATAAGTACAAATTTGCTGAATATTCAATGAGATAATAGATTTTGTAAATAAAGATAGGTACATGAGAAATACTAAACAGTAGCTAGGAATGTAAAACTGTGGACTGAATATTTTCTTATGCAAATGCAGTTGATTTATCTTTTAAATCAAGCTAGGTAAGCAGAAATATAATAAACTATTAAGTTTCTTTATCCCCCAATCATCACTGTCAAACGCTTTATGAGCAGATTGTAAAACGCATCCTGACTTCCTAAATTATGTTTTCTGGACTTAATTGAAACCAGTGTTATTGACTTCTTTAACACCTGTGGAAAACCCACCATGAACATTTGTTTCTCATTAAAAATCATGTTGAAGAGACATCTCAAAATAAAATCCTTACTATTTCAACTAATATAAATCCTACTTTCCCCCAACTAAAATTAAAACAACTCAATTCAACTCATTTTGCTTCTGTGTAGTTATAGAAAGGAGTTGCTTTAGAATTATCTGCTTTGTATGTTTTCCATTTCTAACCTTTTCAGATGCATTGAGACCTTAATATTTTAAGAGATTTGAGAATACTTTGTTCATAAATATAATATTGCAGCTGTGTCTTTTTAATCAGCACAAATGTAGCTACAATCTATCAGATCATTAGTACAATCTATCAGATCAAAAATAACTATGGTGAGAAAATACATTCAGGTAAAGAAGTTAAAGAATTTAAATTTTAGGTTAAAATTTAAAGGCATATGCATGGAAAATATATTAATTCAGAACAATAATGTCACATGAACTATATGGTAACAGCAGCAATCTAAAAAACTTTAAAAAAAATCTAGATCACTATTCTGAGCATTTGGCTTAGTTTAAATTGGATAAGAAAACAATAGTTTCAGTACTTAATCTACTATTGTAACTAAACTGTCAATGATATCCTATTAATATTAGGGTAAGCATTATCTCACATTTTTGAAATACAGCAATATCCTGGAGGAATGGCTTCTTGAGAGACAGCAGATGACACAAGGGCACCATTTTACACAGAAATTAGAAATGTTAACTCAAACAATAATTTTTAAAAATGCCTTGAAGCTTTATCTAGAACACTGCATTCTTTTTCAGAAATGGCAAGTGCAATGAATTGAATCAGATATGCATTAATTATAATCTGCCTGGATTTTGTTATTATAATTCAGAAATATGCAGAAAAAATCACCATAAGTAATTTCTTTGAACAAATAGCATCAGGAGTTGAAATTTATTCAAGATGGAAAACAGGAAGTATTGTGAAAAAAGAAAGGGGGGAGGAAGGGCAGGGGCCAGTATCTACAGGTATTCAATGTACCTCAGGCCTCATGGGAGAAACTTAGCAAATATAAAGCTTTTATTTCCACTTCTACCTTAAACAGAGTATTATCACAATGTAACAGCCTGAGAAAAACTAAAATTCCCAAAATCAAAAGGCTGCTTTCTGATCAAGACAGAATTTGAACCCATGTCTATGTGATTCTAAAGAATATAATTTTTTAACTTTTATTTGATAAATATAAATTCCCAAAATACAGCTTTTGGATTACAGTGGTGTCCGCCCCCCCCCATAACTTCCCTCCCACTCGCAACCCTCCCATTTCCTGCTCCCACTCCCATTCCATTCACATCAAGATTCATTTTCAATTCTCTTTATATACAAAAGATCAATTTAGTATATATTAAGTAAAGATTTCAACAGTTTGCACCCACACAGAAACACAAAGTGTAAAGTACTATTTGAGTACTAGTTATAGCATTAATTCACATTGTACAACACATTAAGGGCAGAGATCCTACATGGGGAGTAAGTGCACAGTGACTCCTGTTGTTGAATTAACCATTAACACTCTTGTTTATGGCATCAGTAATCACCCTAGGCTCTTGTCATGAGTTGCCAAGGCTATGGAAGCCCCCTGAGTTCACTGACTCTGATCATATTTAGACAAGGCCATGGTCAAAGTGGAAGTTCTCTCCTCCCTTCAGAGAAAGGTACCTCCTTCTTTGATGACCCATTCTTTCCACTGGGATCTCACTCACAGAGATCTTTCATCATTTAGGTGTTTTTTTTTTTGTTTTTTTTCTGCCAGAGTGTCTTGGCTTTCCATGTCTAAAATACTCTCATGGGCTCTTCAGCCAGATCCAAATGCCTTAAGCGTTGAGAATACAATTTTTTTTTTTTTTA